TTGCAAATATCTAAACAAAATATTAACATAAAAAAAATATATATATCAAAAAAAAAAGGATCTATTCTGTGAAGAAGATACAAGTTCGAACTGTCGAAGAGAAAATGTTTTTGCCTCTAGCACTTCAGTGTGTATATATGTGTGTGTGTGTGTGTGTGTGTGTTGTTTGCAAACGAAACCGGACAGCCGTGACACCTGACACCTCCTTCTCGTGTGCACCATTCGTCTTACGTCTCCACCCTCACTTTTTCTTTCTTTCTTTCTTTCTTTCTTTCTTTCTTTCTTTCTTTCTTTCTTTCTTTCTTTCTTTCTTTCTCTCTTTCTCTTTCTCACGCATTAACCCCCTTTCCAATACTAATGCACATACGCACAAAACGAAGGCCGCTGACTTAGCGGCTATGATAAGGCTCGTGTCAACGAAACACTCGATTAAAACAATGGAATCATCTTTTTCACATGATTATTTTACCTTCAACCCCCTTCACCACCTCCCACCCCCACTAATACGCAATTTAATTATAATAGTACGTAAATCTAATATGAAATATAATATGATACAAATGAAAATTGTATGAGAATATAAAGGTATTCAAACAAAAGAATGAAACTTCAACAAATCTGACCAATTATTATTATTAATATTATTATTATTATTATTATTATTATTATTATTATTATTATTATTATTATAATTTGAATAATTTGTTTATTATAATTAATTTATATTTTTATTAATATTATTACACAACCAAATCAAAACTACACACGAATTCAAACAAGAAAACTAAACTTCAACAAATCTAACTATTATTAATATTATTATTAATTTAATATGTTATTTATTATATTTTTATTAATATTATTACGCAATAATTATATCAAAACAATATGTTTTGATTTTGTTTTTACCTGATCAACTATTCTATGATACAAAGTTTGTATACAATTTAGTTTTGTGGAACAAAATCAAACAAGAAAACTATGCTTCAACGAATCTGATTAATAATTATTATTAATATTATTATATTTATTTATTATATTTTTATTAATATTATTAAACAATAATTACGTCAAAACAATATGTTTTGATTTTGTTTTTACCTGTTCAACTACCCTATGATACAAAGTTTGCATATAATTTAGTTTTGTGAAACAAATTCAAACAAAAAAAAACGAAACTTCAACAAATCTAATCAATTATAATATTAATATTATTATCAATTTAATATTTTATTTATTATATTTAATTTATATTTTAATTAATATTATTAACAAAACAATTATATCAAACCAATTTCTTCTAATTTTACTTTTAACCTGTTCAACTATCCCTATTCTCAAAATTTGTTTATATATTACATTTTAGTGGACACGAAAGACAATTAATTGATTAATTATTATTAATAATAATAATAATATAGTCGTAGTGTTTTCATTTAATGTAAAATATGAACGATTATATTTTTCATTTATTTCTTATCATAAATCATAAGTCAAGGAAACAGTGTGGTTTCCTTTACCGTGTCTAATACGAGGATATATAAAAAGAATAAGAAAAAAAGGGGGGAAGGAGAGATAAATAGGAAGAAAAGGATTAGCACGCGCTCGAGCACGCGCGCACTCGACTCGCACGCGCACACGCACACGCCAAAGTCACGAGCCGTGAAGAAAGGGACAAAGGCGTAAAAGAGATTGGTCGCAGTAGATATCGTTCTACGCGGTTCATTCGAAAAGAAATCGAGAATACAAACTGGACACAAAGTAGCAAACAATGTTCTTTTTCGATTCGTGAAAAAACTACCCCCTTAAAACGTGATCATCCACCCCCTACCAACTCCATTCATCATCATCAGAAACAAACCGAATTGAATCAATCGGAAACAAACATGAAATAAATCATTTTTTCGACGGTGTAGAACTTTTCAAACATAACTGAACATATTCTGATTAAAAGTAATTAATTGTTTACATGGCTATTGTTTAAACAATATTTTAATAAATTGTTTTCTTTAAATATTGACAAATATTACTGCGTGCAATTAAATATGCTTGCTATTATTTGAAATTTGTTACTTTATTATAACTTTGAATAAAGGGATAGATAAGATAGCATTGTTGCAATTATTCATGCAATTATTGATGCAATTGTAATGAAAATTGTATTCTCTAAATATTGAAAAATATTACTGTAATTAAATATGCTTGCAATTATTTGAAATTTGTTAATTATGGTAACTTTAAATAAATGTATAAAATAAAATAACATTGTTGCAATTCATGCAATTGATACAATTGTAATGAAAATTGTATTCTCTAAATATTAAAGAATATTACTTTAATTAATAGGATTGCAATTATTTGAAATTTGTTACTTATGGTAACTTTAAATAAAATGGATAAAATAAAATGACATTAATGCAATTATTGCTGCAATTATTGATGTAATTGAAACGAAAATTGTATTCTTTAAATATTAAATTATATTACTCTAATTAATAGGATTGCAATTATTTGAAATTTGTTACTTATGGTAACTTTAAATAAAATGGATAAAATAAAATGACACTGTGTGTGTGTGATGCAATTATTGCTGCAGTTATTGATGCAATTGAAATGAAAATTGTATTCTTTAGATATTAAAAAATATTACTGCAATTAAATATGCTTGCTATTATTTGAAATTTGTTACTTTATTGTAACTTTTAATAAATGGAAAGATAGATAAAATAACTGTTGTAATTGATGCAATTGATGCAATTGTAATGAAAATTGTATTCTCTAAATACTGAAAAATATTACTGCAATTGAATTTGCTTGCTATTATTTGAAATTTGTTACTTTAAAATAACTTTAAATAAATCGATAAAATAAAATAACATTGATGCAATTATTGATGCAATTGATGCAATTAAAATGAGTAAAGACTATTCTAATACATAAAACACAGATTAATCCTTCTGTAAAACACCAATTCATGTTTATCTACTTTGACTTTAAAAAATTGACACATTACTACCTAATATAAACAATTTTATACTAATTACAACAAATAATCTTATAAACAAAAATATATAAATATAAAATTGCAAAAATTGCATAGACGTTTCTTTTCATTTATTTCACCTTCTTTTTCAATTATCTCTTTTCAGTAATAGAAAGAAAACCTCTCGTAGATCAGCAATTTTTGATATATCTCACTAAAACGAAACTTAAGTAGCAACTTTAAAAATCCGATAATATAATACGAGACAAGTTTATCCTTACGATGAAAAGGTCGAGCGTGAAAAAAGAGAGTAAGAGAGAGAGAGAGAGAGAGAGAGAGAGAGAGAGAGGGTGAAAAAGGGATTCGATCGGTGATGTGATCATCCACCAACACAACGAAATACAAAACCACCAACACTAATAAAACTATACAAGAAAAAAACACACATAGAACACCATACACACCCAAACACATACTTCAAAATATATATGTATGTATATATGTGTATAGAATATAACAACGTTAGAGGTGTATTCGCACTTTTTATTCGAGTATGCTCCACTTCCGACGCTTAGCATCGCGACGCATGCTTGAAAAGGTTCCATGTGTATATATGCCATTATTAAAAGCCGCCCTCGCACCTGATCATCACCTACGACATAAGCTTAACACATACACACACACACATAGACATGTGTTTCTATGCATATATGTATAAAGATGGGATTATTTATCCAATACAACCATCGATATTATAAACGCATTCTTCTGTCAAGTAAGGTTGGGGGTTGATTATAGGAAAAGGGAGAAGAAACCCTTTGATATTAACCGATACACATTGACGAGAAACCTTTTTCTTTTTTTTTCTTTCATAACCTTGTTAGAAATACTTCCTTTTGATTCATTTTCTCCTGTTCCATTTCTCTCTCTCTCTCTTTCACTTTCTCTCTCTCTTTCTCTCTCTCTCTTTCCATCCCCTTGTTTCTCTCTTTCTCTTTCCTTTGTATTGTAATATACATTGATTTTAACTATTATAAATTATTCATACTAATTTGATGTACTTTGAAACAAGAATTATTACGAATTAATATAATTAATATATTTGTAAATAATTAATAATTATAAATTGAAATAAAAAAAATATAATATAATATTTTTAAATAATTAAATTATTCATTATATTAATTATTATACATTATTACAACATCATCATTGTAATTATTACACAACATTTAATAAATTTCTTTATTTGTAAGAAAGAAATTAACAATTGTTGATATATGAAAAACAATTTATTGCAAATATATAAATTAATTTTAATTAGTATACATTATTTATACTACTTTGATGAATTTTTAATTATAATTATATAAATATTTTTTTTTTAATGAAAATATCTCTTATTATTATTATTATTATTTATTTATTTCGTTTTTAAAGGATGTGAACATAGAATGAAATTGATACGTGCACGGTTTGATGGAAGTTAGGCTAATTGTGAGTTAAACGCGTATGAATCTCTAATCAATTTAACAACGTAATCTCGACAAGGTCTCGATTCCTATCGATAAATATATCATACTTTAATAAAGGTGTATATATATGTATATATATATATATATATCATAGATTAAATCGTTCCACTTTCCACTACGTACGAAAGATAAAGCGTTTAAGAAACAAACACGCAATATCCGAAGAATAGACTATAAGGAAATATTTCTTATTATTGTCAGCAGTGATTTGTATCAATTATAATTCAATATTTAAACAAAAACTACATAGCTAACAAAATAAAATAATTATGAACAATATTACTGTAATTATAACTATGATTAATAATGTTACTAGAAAATAATCAACCATTAACGATATTTACTTGTATTGTCACGATATTTGTTTCATTGTCACGAATTTTGTTAAATCATTTAATAAATAAACAAATAAACAAACAAAAATATATTTTAATGTAATGATAGTGAATGAATAATTATTATAATTAATTTTATAAGCTTACCGGTTGAATTTCAAAGGACTTGGAACATTTGTTAACTTCGTTATTCAGTTCCTTCCAATCGTAGCAACAATTCTTCTCAGAATTTGTTTCTTCACCACCACCACAACCTCCTCTTCTTTCTAGTTTCCTAATTTATTTAATTTTTCTCTTCTTCTTCTTCTTTTTCTTCTTCTTCTTCTTCTTCACAATCCTTTGAGATGGAAGACACGTCAACGTTGAATATGATCCAACAATATAATTAACAATAATAATAATTGTTCACGCGAGGAATCACAGTAATAAAAAACAGGCACTGGAACAACGACCACGCATATTTTTCTTTATCATAGATTTTGTTTAAATATTCGTAGTTATCCTTATATCACAGCTATCAACATTGTTGAGGGGGTGGTCTGGGCAAGGGCACGATATGTGTGTGTTTATAAATGAGAAAGACAAATAAAAATCAATCTCAATGAAACCAATCGAAATGGAATAAAAAGTCCTTGAAGAAGATCCTTTCTACATGAAAAATCCTCGTAGAAAATAATTGGATAACAATAAACAACAAGATAACAACGTAAGACTCGCTCAATTGAAATGTTTCTATATATATATAGATATAATCAAAGTTGCACAGAGAGAGTGAGAGAGATGAACGAACGTACGCACGCGCACACAAACACACGATAAACACACACACAATAATACACGTTATCTTTCTTCTTAAACTAGTCCTCTCTCTCTGATCGAATTTCTTCTAATATTTGCTTTTACCAAAGTCACAACATCATTTCAGTCTCACTTTTAGCCTAATACAAAGAACACTGATTGGTTGACTATGTCACATCGAAGGAAAACAAAAATACAAACACACTAAATGACTTCTTTCCCTTTTATGTTTTCCGATGATGGCGATGACGATGACGATGTTAGATCAACCCTTGGATCTTGCGTTCAAATTCCAAAACACGTGCAAGTAGATTACAGGACACGAGCGAGTATTATCGAAGGGTCAAAGTATATATATATATAGATATATATGTGTATAGAATTATTAGGGTGGACGGGGGTTGAGGGAGAGGCACGTATCGAGTGATATCACAGATTGAAAAAAGACAAACTCCAAAAAAAGTTGTCTTCGTTTTCCTTCCTCCAAAATCCTCTTCTTCCTTGAAAGGGTTCTAAACGTAGCTTAGAGTACACTCTGGTGATGCATGAAGTGTGGTGTTGTGCCTCGACGACGATGTTTGTCTGTTTCGCGCGCGCGAGAGAGAAATCAACGGGACGAACGCACGAACGGAATTGAAGTAGTGGTGGTGGTGGTGGTGGTGGTGAATAGAATGATCTCGTGGTGGGGAGAGAGGAGGGTGGAAAGTAGGAAGGGTGGGAGGATGAGGATGAGGAAGAGGAGGAGGAGAAGAATAATTTTTCAAACGAGAGGAAGAAGGAGTAGGAAGATTATCTCTGGTGGTGGTGGTGGGATATTAAAATGCACGAGTATCAACCCCTTCTTCTTTCTCCCTCTTTTTTTTATTTTAATTTTTTTTTTTTGTTTACTTCTTCTATTATTCTCTATACATGTTTATGAAATTTGCAAAGTCGGGTAAAGAATAAAATAATACGAAAGAGTTAATTGAATATAATAAAATTGAACTTGTTGTTTGTGTGTGTGTGTTTGTTCGTAATAGTAAAAAAAAAAAAACTAAAACCCGATTTATTAGTTTAATGCTTGCATATGATATTTTACGTGTGAACACGCTATGCAAGAAGAGGAAGAAGAAGAAGAAGAACAATAACAAATAATAATAGTAACTTGGACACAACAACAACAACAACAACGACCCTTCCAGTAGCGCGGTCTCGCGCCAACTGCGAGTGTTCCTCGGCTGGCGGGTTTCACCTTCGGCAGTGTTCGGTTACCCTCTCTCTACCTACTACTACTTCGTTCGAGACCCTTCCCCTTTCTTCCTTCTTCGGTATCACTCACCATCCCTACTACTCCATTTTATATCTATCTCTGCTGTTGTATACACTTTCTCTCTCTCTCTTTCTCACGTAAAGCTCCCTACACGTGCGTAGCCTACGACCCAACTGGGATTTTCGTGTGTGAGACCCGATTATGGTGTTAGTGTACGTGTCTATGAGAGAGAAAGAAAACGTCAATTTTGTATATGTGTTTGTGTCATGCAAGCTTCGTTCATCCCTACCATTCTGGTATCAGAGCCCGTGCCGTTTACCCCCACCCTTTTCTTCTACCAGTCTCGTCCCCCTTCGCATGAGTCCAGGTGAACCCTCTTTGAGGTGGGCGCACGACGCGACGACGAACCCGTCTCGGAGTTGGTATGAGGAATACACGACGAACGTGTATCGCGAACCACGCCTATTTTTCCCCTACCTTGTTGCACGCGACTTCCTCCCCACCACTACAACCACCACCACTTCTCGCTGTTTTTACGAACGTGCGCGCGCGCACGAGCGCAAGATCATGCTCGGTCTTTTGATTCAACTATTATACTTCCTTGCATCTTCGTCATTCTTTTTTTTTTTTTATTTCTTTTCTTTCATTCTATGTACGTAGCTGACTACGAAAGATTGACCAGACATGCTTGAGGGTAGAAGGTTTTCTCATATCGTAACACTGCCCACACCCTTTAAGTGTCGAAGTTTAAGTTTTTATAAGATTGAAAAAAGCTGATCAGCTAAAGGTGAAAAGCACACACTTACGCAACTTTAATTAAAATTCAGCAATCTGGGAGAGTTCTGTCAGCTGTTTTTATCAAAGAAATGCACTGGATTTTTTCAACATGCAATCTGAACACCTTAAAAGTGACTCCTACTAATCAAACAGATATATATCCTAATTTTATGATACATCAAATACCCACAAACATCGATTAGGTCCACATATCAATGATGTTTTTTATTCAAAGATCCTTGAGGTCATAGGGGATTGGTTTTTTTTTAAAAACAAGGGGAAATGAGGATCGAGAGAAGTCGCTTACTATTTCCAAGAAGTTTCCTCTGTGCAAACACTTTTTCTAGTATTCCGGTGTTGACACGTGGGTCTCGGGGGCTTACAGGGGCCACGCTTTGGACACGTGTCCCGCCGGGTCTCGAGAGTACTCGCTAAGTGGTCGCTCGACCGTTTGAGATTTTTTTTTTCTTCTTCCGAGACGACTTATGGTTAGTATTTACTTTTTTACGAAAGCTTAGGCGCGTCATCGGTCATCCTACTACTAATGTCCAGATGGGTTAGGTAGAACCGTAAAAACGTATGGTATATACTTAAGACGATTTATTTTAGGCACTCGCGTGTCATGAATATATTAAACTTCTTTCTTATTTTACTCCTTTAACAGAAGAAGACAAAAAAAACTGCCTGTAATCCTTAAGGTTTTGTTGTAGTGTCGCATATTGCATATTTGCAAATACATTCCCCGTTCACCTATCTGAAAATTATTAATTGCCATTAGGAACTCGAAAGTTCATTGCCACAAATACCTGAGATTGACCCATCCATTCCCAATCCTAATAATATTTTCCTCCCATCTACTATGTGGTTTTTTCCCGTTCGGTATATCGATCAGTATTTTATACACCGTTCGATCCACCCCCATGCAAGCCACGTGACCTGCCCATCTTAATCGGCGCAATTTTACGACGTTAATGATGTCCAGTTTTGTTGTACAGTCGATGTACTTTAACTATGGGGTTTTCTCCATTCACCCGTTTCCTCATCGCATTTTGCACCTGAAGATTTTACGAACAACTTAATTTTCGAAAACTTCATTAATTAATCGGGCCCGTCCGATAGAGCGAAAAGCTTTAAGTGCAGCCGCCTAGTGGTGAGAAACATGAATTACAGCACCGGCGGGAACATGTTAAACATATTTTCTTATTTTATTTATATTTTATCTATTTAAATGCATTATAAATCACACAGTAATGTCACTAGCTATTGCCCACTAGTTTCTAACATAAAACAGTCATGGTAACACAGGAATATTTTTAATTGAACATGTTGAAAGATTCTAACCTATAATTCGCAAAATTTTGCTACCAAAAAGGACCACCGGTAGGATGATTGTCCTTTGCATTGCCTAAATTGATTCTTTTCTTAAGTTCTTCATTAAATATTATACGAGATAGTAATTTCATCATTCCTAATATTAATTATTCATTTGAATATAATCGATACTCTCGTTGGTAGTTGAAAGAAAAGATGATAATGATGATGATGATGATGATGATGATGATAAAATGAATAAAAAAAAAAATTGAATCTTTATAGATGGTTGGGATCATATCGTTAAGAGAGAAAGCTATTTTCAGGGCAGGTTTTTTATTTTTTCTTATAACCCCTTGTGAAAGAACATCCTCCACCTCCTCCTCCTCCTCCTCCAATGTAGGTAAGGCTTGTGATGCTTTTACGTTCTGCTCTCATGACGTTCGTAGAATCGAGACGTGTAATTTGGTAAGTGCGTACAGAGATAGGTGGTGGTAGTAGTAGTAGTAGTAGTAGTAGATGAGAGAACGTAATAATCGCCGTTATAATTATAACAAATTGATAGGTTCGGTTCGAACTTAGGAAAGAAGGTGGGCCCACCTCTTATTGGAATAATTGCGCGATCCGCGTCATTAGCCTTAATGAGTCTCTCTGCCAGTCGGGATATATAACGCCTTCTCCTCCTCCTTCTCCTCCTACTCCTCCTAGGAATAAGAAGAACCCGTTGCACTTTCCAATCCCTGGTATCTCTCCTTCTTTAGGTGATACCCACGCAACACGTGTCATCTTTTATAGTTACGAACACACACACAAAAACTGGACAAATACGAAAGTGTAATTTATAAAGTAACCCATGAACATATTTTCTGTTTCGTCAATATTTTATTTATATTTATATTATTTAAATTATATTAATAATAATTTGATGTGAAAAGTAAAAAATGAAAAAGTAACGACACCCATATTTAATTTAAAAGTTTCTTCTTACATAAGGAAGGGGGCTGAGGGAAGGAGGGAGGGGGGTTAATAGTTACATCGATCATACCAACGTAAGAAATGATATTCCACGTGCGCGTGTTCTCTTGAGCTTATTGTCACACACGCCCTCGAGAGCTTACG